GGGACGGAGCATCTAGCACCCTATTTCCAATTCAGAGCACTCCGCCTGATGCTCCTTCAATCGAAGTTTTGACTCGAGGAAATCCCTTCTTCTGATACCAGTTTTCTCCTCTGCCATATATATTAAGGTACATGAATTGATATTTTATCCGCCTTCTCTGTTTTACTTATTCTCGTTCGCACCCTCTACCGCTCTTTACACCAATTAGTATATTCAATATCGGATTCGAAACTCCTCTCTCTCTGAGGCGACTCCAATATTTTGCGCGTACGGAGACCATGACGCAAGTCGGCCACTATATTCTTTAATTTCAGAGTCACAAGAAGAGCTGCTATGCGCGGGTATCTCCCGCTCATAAAACGAAGCGATGATGTGGGCCGCCCTGACAATAACCCGGATGCCCTTGTCCTCGAAGGTTGGGCCCAGGGCTTCATGGTTGGGACCCTGGTGTTTATGGCTGCTATCACCGTCGCGAACATGCGTCGTCGAGCGCTTCTACATAAGTTGATTTTAGCTGAGGTCTGTTACGCTTTTGTTTTTTTTTTTTTCAATTCGCGAGCTCCCGGGTTGTCGCCGTGACTGACAAAATTGTTCTTGATAGTTAATTCTCGGCATGGGACACGGCACATGGCTATTTGCCCATGAACCGGTGTATGGCTGGTACCTCTCCACGACTGCAATTGGGCTTAATATTTCGTGGAGTCTTCACAACGTAATAGCCTGGCTGAAAAACCGACCGTTCCTTAGCAAGAATGTCAGCAGATTCTACATCGGCACTGTCATTCTTGCACAGCCGTATTGGATCCTCGAAATTTATGCCAACTTCACATATTTCAACCGTATTAATGACTTATTCCTGAAGACAAGGCCATTTGAAACGCTTTGCCGGTGAGCTTCCGATGCATTATATTACTTCCCTCCCATCCTGTCTTTATATGCGATCCGTGCAATAGACCAAGAGAACGAGGGGCTGACTTAGTTTCTAGAGATCCCTGGTGGATATACACCACGTGCAATCTCTTCTATGTCATAAAATCCGAGTACGGTTTTACCTACCTTGAGCTCGTTCGCAACAGCCCTCGCTTCGGCGTGATGCTAGCCTCCATGTGTCTCTCAATCATATTTCTTGTTATCGATCTTCTCTCCGTCCTCCACGTCTTTCAGGGCGCCTTGCCCACAGGCGTTAATCCGTTTTGGAAGGTTAGTTTCAAAAATTTCCTGCGAATCCAAACTTAAGCACTGAAGGAAAGGAAGAAGGACAAAAGACCACTACTAACAGCACTGCATCAATGTAGCTTTCCTTTGTGTTTAAATGTCTCTGCGATACCGTTATTCTCGATGATTTCAAAACTGCCCTCGACCGACTTCGTGATTATTGGTTGCTCAAAAACGGTGCAATTGACCAATTCAGCTTCCCTCAAGATAGGCAAACTCCGCGATCATCCTCTCAACAGAGAGGGGCGCGCTTCGGCGGCAACCATCCCAGCATCAAGAGGCCTGATGCCACTGCACATGGGGAAAGTAATGTCCGTTATCAATTACAACATAGTAGGAATTATAGCAATTCGACGACCAGGGTCAAGAATGCTTTCCAAGAAGAAGAAGTATGAGGGAATGTCAATTAAGGGAATTTTAACTATGGGAATTTTTCAAAATATATTAGGTTTCTTTGTTACTTAATTCTTTTTTTTTTTTTTTTTGTCTTTCAATGAATGTCACATGATAGCGTAAAGTATGGAAGTTGAGAAATGGTCTTGAGGATCCATAATACCTAGCAGGATAACTTAACAACAAAACCCAAGGATTGCTATACGACATATGACGTTTGCATCATGGACTACTTTTCCACACTGCCCGTCAAACCAGGGGGCGTTTCATGGGATAAACGAATCCCAGGAACATTCACTACGAGCCATATCAGGGTTGTTCATTAACAAGCTGAATAGGAGATCATGCATAATAGAATTTTGGGAGTATAAGTTTACGTATGGGTCGACGGGGTCATGCCTGATATGCAATTGACAATGTCAGTCACTTTTACTAGAATATGTCACATCACTATGGTCCCAGTAATGGAATGGTCTCTAATATGGACATTATATTACAGTAAATTCTTACCCCGAACTAGCACAAGATGCCTTTTGCATAACGAAACATAGTAGCAATCCCAGAGGGTTGGCAAATGGCAAGGCGTGGATGACGGCAATATGTATCTCAGCCATCATGAAATCTCCCATTTTAACGGAGATTGGAAGTCCACAGAACCCGGAAACGCTTTACAGAGTACAAGTTCACTAATTATTGTATTGCATTGCAATCGTTAAAGGCTGTCGTTATGGGTATCTGTTGATTGGCTTCTTGTTCACTATATACCTCCAGGCAGGTAAGTAATTAGGAAGATAAGGGGCTATGTTTAGCATCCCTACTAGATATTTTTGACCAAAACGACTTCCTCTTCCTGGCGTGTTGATAGGAGGGGGAGTGGCCGCAGTTCTGCGGAGACTGGCTGCACTAAAATACTCGGTGATAATCCAGCATGAAAAATTTAACCCCGCCATCTTATGTTGGCCAAACATTGGTAAGGCTGTAGCAGCTGGGTTACATCTTGAGATAAGGATAATCCTTGCCGACACAATCCCTATCTGCGGTAAAACAGTCGAGGATGCAACTGAGATTCGTGAGAAGAAGCGTCGCATGCAAGAAACATTTCTCGCCTTCTACTCAAGGGAAGATTTTATGCTCGTCTTCCCCAAAACAGGACCCCTCTTACTTGGCTCTCCGTAGCGACGCTATTGCTATGCCGAACTCCAATCCTCGATACAAACTGGCGCATATCGAATGCAGAAGATTGGTGACCTGTGGATGGTGGTCGGACGGACCAAAGATGTTCTACATAGGAAGTGAAAAGAAAGGCAAGGCCAAGCAAATGTGTAGACATATCGGCCCGTTCGGACATAACCGAATCGCTCCATAACCAGGGAGCCATTTGTATTTCGCAATGCCGTTCTCTGCCGGTCACCAAGAGCCCTTGTCAAGATTATTCATGGCAGTGGAAACCGAGGCCGCCGGATTGGTTGGTAGGACACCGCCGAATGAGGGCCAACAACTGGCCATTCGACTGCTTTCCACTACTTCACATGCTCCCCATGAGGATTCCCCTGATTCCAGGTAACATTCATTGTGGCGCATTTCTTTCGACGGTTTGCGCAAGAACTGACTCAAGACGCAATGGAGCCCTGAGATCCTCCGCGCTCCCACGACATTGGAAGTTTTGGAAGTTGTCCCTGAGGACACACAATAGGATTATTTGCCGACGTGCGTCAAACATCGTAAATTAAATCACATGAAATAAATCTGGGGATCTGGGGTATTTTCCGGAGGTCTGGATGCAGGGGATAAACCGCAGAGTCGCAAGATTGACCAGACTCTAAAAATTAAACATGATTTACCAACATATGTACTCACTGTTGCCGTTAATACCAAGCTCAAGGAGCGAATTTGTTGTTATGGGTATTGGGATAGTCAACAATTGCCAGGATTATTTCGATGACGGCTCCAGCTCAATAATCTGTGATATGGATGTACCGCAGCGGAAACGGATAAGCTTATTCCGAAGGCTTCTATCGTATCCGCTGGAAAACATCTCAAGAGATGTATCGATCCGGTAACTGTGATTTGATTGTGCACCCACTCGTTCTTGTCATTTGATTCTTCTGCACGTTTTCCCTGTTCTCCATCGGGTTCACTCGCTCAAACTCCTCTGAGACCACGTTGTCCACAATCATGCCAGAATCTCCCTATTGCTCTGTGGTCTTGCACTTCAGAGCTGTAGATATACTCTGTAGTCTAAAGCTCTTAAGCAATTGAGCTTTTGACTTGTAGTGGAGAAAAGTTTTAGTCATATCGAATATCCACGGTAGTTAAATCCATATGGCTTAGATAACTTCCGTTTTTCTGTTCGACGCTCGAGATAACCCGCTCCCTCCTTCGACCTGAAACGGTAACAAAGGATCATCAGGCATTTCGATAGAAAGTCTCCAGGATCTTCTTCTCGAAGATCGAGACGCGTCCCCAGGCATATACACATTAACAGAATGCCCGAACAGGAAATTGCTCGGGGGCTGTCATCTGGTCGATGCATGGCCTCAGACCACGGTGGTCAAACCACTACACAGATCCATACAGCGCCTGATAGAAAGATTTCAGACGTAATAACGGCGTACGACGACCGTGGACTCCTAAGCGCCGAAGATTTCCGGTAATTAGAGAAATAGCGTCTGTAAGAGTTTCAAGCAAAATCGTTTCAAACAGTTATCGGTGTCCAGATGGAAACAACTGGCGTTCGCCCATCGGTGGCTGCTGTCTAACAATCTCGTAGAAATAGGCCAGGAAGAACGTTTGGGACTGCAACAGCAGACAATTTAAGGCCAAATATACAGGGAGATACGCAAATGAAAGGAAAGGGGTAAAAAAAAAAAGGAAAAAAAAAAAAAAGGACTCCCCGACAGGGAATCGAACCCTGGTCTCCCGCGCTTGACATTTTCATGACAAGCGGAAATCATGACCACTAGACCATCGAGGATGTTTCTTTGGTTGCACCGCCCGGATCAGTGGTTGTTAAGGCTACTTCCCCGGGGTTCGTCGCTTCTGCCTTCCAACTCCTCCTCTCCTCGTTCATCTCCTGCAGAATAGAGCCGTTTCAATCCACTCGACCACCATGATACCTCGTGTCTATCGATCTGTATATGCTTACTCTCGCCTGCGCACAAATCCTGTTTCTCGACAACGGTATTTCAGCATGGCAAGCCCTAACTTGAACTCTGCCGTCCAGCCCAAATACGCATCTACTCTTCCAGATGAAACCAAGCAATTGGCAGCCGAGACCAACTCGCTACTTGACAGTAACTGGTCTCTCGATGAAGAGCTGATGGGCTTACAAAAGACCTACTATTTTAAAACGTACACAAAATGCCAGGTCAGTTATGCTTGAATGATCCGGGCACCAGGGCGCAGAGCACATGTCAGGGGACCCCCAGCAGCTAGATGCGACATCCTCAACGGTCTATTTCCCGAATTGATTTATTTTTCGCTAAGCATGTGTTTTATATAGGACTTCTTCAACATGATCGCGATAAAGAGTAAATCTGCAAACCACCATTCGACAATGACAGTTGTGAGAATTGCTGCCTCCGTTACCCCTCGTCCTGTCGATGTTAACTGCTGCCCCACCCATCAAGTCAACTGACAATTCCACTCGTCCCTACCCAATATCTAGAAATTCCGTTCTGTTCATATACACTGGACGACTCATAGTCCACCTGGCCTTTCTGCAATAGACACTTTGATGGCAAGATACTGCGACGAACAAGCAAAGATGCTAGGCACCGTGGATGAGAATCAGGTCAAGACGTGCACTTCCGCACCGGCGACGAAAACCTAAGGAGTACATTGGGCGAAAGTAGAATGTGGTATTTCTTGTATAAACTTTCCTCTAATCGTAATCGACAACGGAATGTTACAAGACGATCATATAGGCTGATTATTAACAGGATTTCATCCAGAGCCGCACGCTTTCTAACGAATGAAGAGGACAGCTATGAACTGATTGTAGCGAAAAAATTGAAAGGAAACAAAATTGTTTCTGATATCAAACCGGTTGCTATTCGCGACTGTTTTACCCAACCTTCGTCGTCATCATGAAGTGCCAGGCAACTTGTCTACCTTTAGAAGGTCAAAAAACAACTTGTACATTACATATACAATGGCATCAGTGTCATACTGGCAAGATGATTGCTAGATGTCCAGAGCAATGCTTCCGGGTAAGGAGCCGAGGTCATATTGATCGCCTCCAGTTTTTCATTGCAGCCGGTAATGGTATCATCTACATCACAAAATATATGATGTCGATCACTTGGTTATTTACTTAGTCGCTACCTTCGCTTTGGCGCTTAATATCGGCATGGCGGCAGAGCTTCCCCGCATCCCGATTTCCAGTTGCCTTGTATATGCTTTATCATTTGTATGGAGATGCACACCCATAATATTTCATCCCACTACTTGGAAAAACATATATACTTCCCGGTAATCTTGAAATAGAGAAACAAACGCCCCAAAATATCACAGAAATAAAAATAAAAATAGAACCCAAAAAGAATGACATCCCCAGTAACCACTAACCTCCATGCTTCCTATACCCGCTACAGAATCCGCAACCCTAAATCCTACGCCGCCCACCAGGAAGCCATCAAACACCTTCCTGGCGGCAACACCCGCTCCTCCATCTTCTCCACCCCATTCCCCCTCACCTTCACCTCTGGCCACAAGGCCACCCTCACCTCCCTAGACGGAGATACATTCCACCGATTTTCTAGGTGAATATAGCGCGGGTCTCTTCGGCCACTCAAACGAACGGATTTCTAATGCCGTATCCGCCGCCATGGTAGGCGGCTGGAACTTTGGCGGCATCAGTGTACATGAGAGCGCTTTTGCAGAGCGTGTCTGTGACCGCTTCAAAGAGGCCGGGATGGAGATGGTGCGATTTACCAATTCGGGCACGGAGGCAAATACGATGGCGATTGCCACGGCGCTGGCGTTTGTTAATACCCGAAATGACAAGGACGGGAATGACGAGACAAGGAAGACTATAACGAAGAGCAAAATTCTCGTCTTCAGCAATGCGTATCATGGTGCAACGCTTGCGTTTCCTATGACCCTCGTCGCGGATGCCGATGCCGATGCCGATGCCGATGCCGATGGTGGTAAAGTGGTCAGCGGCGGCACCGCAGGCGCCGCAGCAACGAATCTCCCCCATGACTTCGTCATCGCGCCGTACAATAACATCGATGAGACGAGGGCCATTGTCAATTCACTCCACCCACGTAGCAGTCTTGCTGCGATCCTCTTTGAACCCATGCAGGGCGCGGGTGGCTGTCGCACCGCCACTAAAGAATTCGCCCGTTTCCTGCGGCAGGTTGCAGATGAACATTCCGCGCTCCTCATCGCTGATGAGGTCATGACGTCCCGATTGGCGCCTGCGGGGTTATGTGTGGGGCTTTTTGGTATCACGCCCGATATCATGACGTTGGGGAAATGGGTTGGTGGTGGGATGAGTTTTGGGGCATTCGGGGGTAGGCGGGAGATTATGGAGCTATACTTGCCTGCTGATCCGGGGGAGAGGAAGGGAAAGGGGAGGCTGAGCCATGCGGGGACTTTTAATAATAACATCTTGACAATGGTGGCGGGCTTCGAAGCATTGGGGATTTATACGAAGGAGAGAGTCGGGGTGCTCAATCGGTTGGGAGATAGGTTGAGAAAAGGGGTTTGGACTTTGCTCGCTGGTCGGAGGATTATAAGTGAACATCTGAGCCAGAGCGGAGAGGCTGGCGAAGGGTACGAGATTGTGGAGGTTGATACCTTTGATCGGGTGAGGCAGGGAAAGGAAGCCAAGGGACTCCCGAGGATGTTTGTGAGTGGGCATGGGAGCTTGATAAATGTGCGGTTTACGGGTTTCGATGCGAAGGTGTGGCAGGCGTTGTTCTATCACCATATGCTAGACGAACACATTTATCTTGCTATGAGGGGTTACATGGCTTTGACGATAGAGACGACTGAAGGTGATGTTGATAGGTTCATCAGCTGCGTGGAAGGCTTTCTGGACCGGTATGGGCAGGAGCTGCTGATTGCTTAGATGAGGTAAGGTAGGACAACGCAAGATTGTGAAACGGAGATTTGAAGAGAAGCAGGGGCTTGATAGCTATGTTCATGGCACACAGTGCCAATTGAATATCATTGCAGAGGTAAACGTCGAGTATCATAGGTTGGGTATATCTTCATTATCCACCTAAAAAATGAATACAATGAAAACGATGATTTCCCGCCCCAATTTCGCTTGAGTCGGAGGTGTACGTCTCACAACGAATAAAACCATGCAGTCAGGGGTATGCGTAAGAAACACGAGAAATAATCAAAAAGCTGTATATGAAATATGCAGTAAAGAAAAAAGAAAGTAAAGAAAAGATGAAAAAGAACAAAACTTGAAAAAAACTAGCCACTAAACCAACCGTGACGACAGAGTGTTCTTATCGGCATGGCCTCGGAGAAATTATCAGTAAACTAAAAAATCCGCTGCAATATCTATGCATCTGAGACAAAGGGGTGTATCCAGAAGAAAAGCGCATGTCCGCATACTGCTGCGCAAGATTTAAGTATTTTGCATCCCTTGTTCCGAATATCATTAAAACAGAGAGAAAAATAGAAAGGAAAAGGAAAGGAAAAGGAAAACGGGTGAGAAAGTTAGGGTCCAAGACATCGTTTATTGCGTCATTATCAAGACTGAAAAAGGATTTTTGTCCCAGCGATGAGATGAAAGAAATTGACATAAATATGAGACAGTCAAAAGTCAAAAGTCATCAACGTTTGAATGGTATGCGTGGATAAAATAAGGAAGGTGAGAATCAAGCCAAAACAATCTGTGAGCTAGGCGGGTTGACGGAGAGATTCCCGCGCGGAGCCAAATGTCCAACATACTCCGATAAACGACGGGAACTGAAATCGCAGGGATGAATACCAAACGCCATTGAAACCGACAAAGCATCAGCAAACGAGGGCTCCTCTCTATCAATCAAGTTCATCGTCCTCGTTATCACCATCAGTGGAGAAGAATGGGCGGTTTCTAATGCCGATTCTGCGCATTCCTGTGCTATTTGTTCTTGACCGTAGCTGGAGTAAACCGGTATGTTTGGTGCCCAACCCGGAAGCCCCAGAATTGTGGTCATTCGGAGAGGCATCCGCTGATTTAGTTCCCGTATTCAAAGAAGATGCGCCGTATCTTCGGAATCCGGGCTGGATATTCGTGTGAGTTGTCGTTGGAAGGCTTGTACCGGGGGTACCATAATTCCTCCGCACAGGGATATTTGATTGGACTTGAGAGATTGGATGGGCTTGGTCAGCATGTTGCTGTGGCGATATCTGCTGTAATACATGTTGATCGGGGAGTGGATGATTGGAAGTATATTCGCGTGAACGCCGTCGTTCTCGAGGTGAATAGCGAGATGTTCCGCTGTTGATTTCAGTCATTGCTCGGGAAATTGGACGGAAAACAACAGACGATTTGTCCTCAGAATCTTCTTCGCCTTGCAATCTCCGGCTGCGTAGTGTTATAGAGGTACGATTGAGACGACTTGGGGGGGTTGAAAGAGTGGGTGTGGGAAGCTGAGTCTGGTTTGCGCTCTCCTGGGTATTTCGACTGGAAGCAGCTCCGGAATTCAGACTAAGAATGCTTGCTCGTCGTGTTTCTAAACGGCTGCCTGCTGCTAGTCGCATCGTTTGTGTCTGGCCGTGGTGGCATTCCTCTGGTTCATGGCTGATGCTCCGCCGATATGAAATGGTTGGCGTAATCGACTCTCTATCCATCACTCCATCTCTCTGGTACTGGCTAGTTGTCGGATCTGGGCTGCCTGTTCTTGTTTTCGATATGGACTCCCGCTGCTGATCTGACAATACCAAACATAGCTCTGTCAAACCCCGGCACAAGCTGTCCGCCTTTCGTCGCATCTGTCGATCTGAGGTACTAGCCCCATTAACAGGCATACCACTTCTGTGTTGAGGAGCGTTAGAGCTAAGAATAGCAGCCAACGTTAACGCATCTGTTGTTGTTGCTTCAAGAGTGCGATATACGTCAGCATTCAGTATAGGTTTGGCTTTCGCTAAAGCAGTGTGGAGTAAAGGGTGTATTTGATCTGTTACGGTACTTGATTCCTGCCCTAGTGGTGGAGACGTCGTTTTTCGACCGTGTTTCGGAGAAGAAGAGAGCGTGGTGACTGTTGTCGTTGCAGTACGTGGCCTTTCACCAGAGACACTACACATTGCTGCCGCAGATGAGGGTGGTAATTTTCCCGTCAGTTCCAATTTTCGAATCCTCGACTTCAAGTCGTCTAATTCATCCCAAACAGTAGATGGGGCGGTGGTAGACAAGGTGGATTCAGTGCCATCCAATCTCGACTTCTCCGCCTCCAACCTGGACTGTTCAGCTACAGCATCCGCCACAGAGGAATTCAGGGTACTTCGCATCGTTGATAGGTTTGACTGTCGGTATGTCCGCGACTGGCCTTGCATTTGTTCCTGAGCATTGGAAACTCGTCTTTCTCCAATGTGATTCGGTGACGAGTCGGGTGATGGTTCCTGACTTGCGCGAGTGAGACTGCTCCGAGGAAGCCCAACTGATGATCTAGTGCTAACACCAAAGTATCGAAGTCGACTGTTCTCATCGATTGGATGTTGAGACGTGGTAGGAGATCGAAGTGAGGAGGAGCCAAGTCCTAGGGAAGGAGAGTCGTCGTGAGACGGTGAAGGTGTAACCTGATCAGAGTCGAATCGGGGAGTTTGTGGAGAAAGAACCTCCTCATTGGCCCGACTCGTACGTGAAGACAAGCCAGATAGACCAAATTTAGACTTGTTGAATTTCGTTGGTTAGCCAGACCAGGGAAATTGGACGGAGAACAGGAAATAAACGAAAAGAAAAATCAAGATTCAAGCAGACAGACAAAAATGTACACGGCAGGTCTCGGTAAATGAATAACACAAAACACAAATCCAGTTAATGCAACTCAGAGCTTACCCTTTTCCTTTCTGTCATTGTTGTTGTTGAACTGCGGCGCAGAGAGTTCGCCCTGGCGATATTCAAAAAAATGTCTTCGTTTTTGGATTTGCCATCCTCAACAAGAGACTCCTTGCTGCTTGTGTCGGTATTTCCATTACCGGCCATCGCATATTTCCGTTCGCGACTATTACTACCCAAAAACCCTCCACTCAGGCGAGTCCCTGAGAGGGGCATTTTGGCTTTTTCCCCCGTCGCAGTTGTACTGGTTCCAATTGGAAGAGACGAGCGCTGTCGCAATTTGCCAGTCGCCGTAGTAGAAGAGTCTGGATTCAAGACTTCATCAATGCTGGACGCCGGACGAGGAGGTTGAGGTTTTGTTTTCGATCTAGCGGTACTTCCAAAAGACCTTGGTCTATGAAGCGAAGTTGCTGTTGATACTTTTGTATTGGGCCGGGATTTGTCATAGGACAGGGAGCGCTGTGTGGAAAGCGCGGGCGGTGGACCAGTTGACGTTTCGATTCCGCAGGAACTTCGAGACGCGGGAGACCTTTTCTGATGGGGAGACTTTGGCTCGAGGCTGGGTTGGGATTTTAGCGAACGTGAGGTTGCGGAAGAGGAGGTGGTTGGAGGAGTGGTGGAAGAGGCTGCCGAAATTATTGTTGGCAGACGCTGGGAGATAATTCATGGAGGTCACGGGTGGTCTGTGCCCGGGGGTGTCTGTATAGTATGCTTAGGGGAATGCTGGTTGGGCGTGGTTCGGTTTCGGAGGCTTCAGGGGCATTTATTTTGCGTGGCGAAAAATCTGCAAGGGAAAGGGTCAAAAAGCACTGGTCAAGCCTGATGTGCGCCAGAATTTTGCTGCTTGTTTGTTCGCCGTATTGTACTGTGCAATTTGGATTGTTATATTTTCGGATTCTGAATAATTTCTTTTT